AACCGCTTCAGACAGTCTTCATGTGGGGTTAAATTCTTCTGTAGTAAGTATCTAGATCATCTGCTGCTTCCATATCCTCCTGTACTTCTTTTCTTTCTTCCCTCTGACGTTCTGTTTTCTTCCACTTTCTGCCCTGCTTTGCTCTCCTTCTTGTCTTTATTTTGTCATTCTCAATGAATTTTCATTCACATTCTGGTTCTGTCTCTCTATTTCTTCAGCAACATCCATTCCTCGATGTTACCGGGCCATTATGGTACATGGCTTTGTGGAAGAGCTTGTGGTAAATGAGGATCCAGAGTACCAGTGGATCGACCGTATCAGAACCCCTCGTGCGTCCAACGAGGCCAGACAGAGACTCATCTTTCTCATGTCAGGTACTAATATTTTTGAGGGGTCATGTGGCACTGAAGACTGAAGTAATGGCTGCTGAAAATTCATCCTTTTCATCACAGGAATTATATTACATTTTAGAATATTTTTAAAATAGAAACCAGTTAATTTAAATTGTAGTCAAATTTTACAATATTACTGTTTATAGTGGTTTTTGATCAAAGAAATGCAGCCTTGGTAAGCATATGACACTTATTTAAAAAAATATAAAAAGTCTTGCTAACCTAGATCTAGGACTTTTTGATAGCACAGTATAGGCCTATTGATCTACTCTGACTAAGTGTACTTTAAGTTGCTTTGGATAAGATCATCTGCTAAAAGATGACTTACTAGAAGACTGCTTACTGTGTCTCTGGAGATAAGTGCATGTGCAATATGAGACACTCCTGTCAATATTTTCTTGGCTCATGTGGTGTGTGTGTAATTGCATTTGTGTTTCTGTTGTAGGTGAATTGCAGAGGAAGATTGGTCTGAAGGTGCTGGAGATGGGAGGGAATGCAGTGGTGGGGTACCTACAGTGTTTTGACCTTGAAGGAGAATCAGGCCTTGTGGTTCGTGCCATTGGGACAGCCTGCACACTTGAGAAAATCAGCACATTCCCTGCCACAGCCACATACCCCAGCAACTCCTCTCCTTCAAAAGACATGAAAGAGTGAGTGTCACCTACGCACACACATATGCACGCATCGTTTTTAAAGAGATTTGGAAATTGCTGCTTTTTTTCTAACAGCTATCCTAGTTCATCTGCAGTACATTAGATTAGATTTTTTTGCACTGAAAATAAGAATTGAATTTTGGATTCGAAATGAACGTGATATTTATGCATTTAGCAGACGCTTTTATCCAAAGCGACTTAAAGTGCATTCAGGCTATACATTTTTTACCAGTATGATATATGGGTTATTAAAGAATTCACAATGAATCCATTGAATTTTCTATCCCTTTAATGAAAGTAAAAATAGAGGCTGTTAGTTTTGAATTTTCAGTCAATGTATATTACTGTTCAAAAATTTGGGGTTGGCAAAATTTTTGTAGAAGTCTCTTATGCTCATCAAGTTGCATTTATTTGATCAAAAATACAGTAAAAAGAGTAATATTGTGAAAGATCAAAAGAACAGCATTTATTTAAAATTGTAACATCATGAATGTCTTTGCTGTCATGTTTACTGACTCCAAACTTTTGAATGATAGTGTATTATGTTTTAGATTTTCATCTATTTTTTTAGCAGACATTTTTTTTCAAGGCAGTTTGTTATTATTTAAATAATTTATTAAAATGATCTAACATTCCTTTGGTTTTATTAAACCGGTATTAATGCAACCTGAAAAAGAAGAAAATGCTGTACAATTACTCTCTGTTTTCTGTTTATATTAGTAAATGAGTATGAGGGTGTGTGAGTGTATTTGTTTTATGAGTTGCTGTTTTATAAGTTCTACAGAAATGCATTCTCAACACACAAACATACCACACCTCAATCTTGTTCTCCCCTGCATGTCCTCTATCTCCCTCTTGCTCTTACTGTCTGTTTCTTTGGCGTTCCTGCATGCTGCATCTCTCCTGCACCGCATGTGTTTGCATTAGACGGCTAAAAGTTTAAATGCTGTTCGGTTTTGCATTTTCAAACTAGGCGTTTTTTGCATCTGGACTGCTGCCTTGAGTCTGTTGTGTTTTGTGTTTGTGTTGTCTCGTCCCGTTCCCTCTAGGGAGCTAAGAATGTTTGAACGGCTGTGACCTGCCTAACTAGACAGCACTTTTGCCGCTGTCTAGGTAGTCAGCTCACTAGGTTGTGAGATGCAGCCAAAAAGGACTTTTCCTGCCGTCTGTTCTCCATGCAGTCTGCCTTGGGTGTGTGCGCGTTAGGGGTGTGCGATATTGACAAAAAATTATATCTCGATATTTTATGGGATTTTATCGATAACGATAATTAGACAATATTTTGCTGAGTGTGTTATTGTGCTGGTACCTTAAGGACTGCTGAAGACAGCTGACTCCTAATGTTTTTAATATTCTTCATATTCTGTGTGGTGGTCAGTTCATACTGATAGAAATTAATCTTTTCCAATAAGTTTAAACTGATTTTTGCATTTTATGGCCATTTTTACCTTTTATAAAGCCATTTTTTCTAAAAGTGTCGAAATGAAAACCGCCAGCAGGTGGCAGCAAATCACTGTTAATAAGTGAGTCATTGCGATTGAACCGAATCATTTAAACGGTTGATTCATTCAAGACCGAAACACCACCGTCATGTTGCTCAGAGACACAAAACAGTGCTGTGACTGTGTTTGGAATTGTTTTTGTTGTAGAAATAGAGCAAAAACAGGCAATATGGTGTCTAAAACGCAAGTCTCTTAATTCACTTCTTTTTTATTGAACTGTTGTAAAAAAAAATCTATTAGAAATCATACTGATATTTGGAGGAAAAACCGGCACTCTTCATGTGATATTGATTTACTATATGAAATTATATACACATTTTCTGGCCCTATATCTTGAATTTTGTGATCATTCTAAATGCATTGATTGAATCACGCAGTGAAAGAACTCTAAATGCGCACGCACTAGTCTAATCTACTAGACTTCACGGCACTCTGTAGGAGTGTTTTGTTTGATTTATGGCAAAATACTGCTAATGTCAAATCGCACATCGTTAAAACAACAATTACGATATTATCGCAGACGATATATATCGCACACCCCTAGTGCGCGTACATGTTTGTGTATGTTATTGTTATATGTGTGTTTGCGTTCTCTGTGAATGTACAGTACACAGTGTGTGTTTGTTTAATGTATGAAATATGCGTGAATGTGTGTGTGTAGCTCTCCACAGGCTGCTCCTTCCACTCTCGGATGTCGTTCCACACACAGCAGTCCAGTTCACAGTGCGAGCAGTCGTCTTTCTCAGGGCTTCTCCGTTTCTGTGCCAACACTGCTGTTCGCCGGTATGAAACCCAGACACAGGAGCTCAGAAGCCCCCAGAGCCAGGCAGTGTAGGCAGGTACCCCACGACCCCCATGACCCCGTCACGACCCTGCCACGGACCTGTCACCCCGTTCTTCATTGGCAAGACAGCTATGACATCACCAGCCCCCCTCTCCTTCAGCTGCCAAAGCAACCTTGTTTACAGCTTAAAAATGCCTCTGACCAATCAGTACGCTGCATTCAGCTGTCATTCAAAGAGTATATCCAATCAGAGGTGTCGGTTGGCTTCTGTGTTTTTAAGTTGTTTGTGTACGTACCATTTTTTTTCAGGCAGGGTTGTTGAATTTTACATTTTGGCCTTGTGAAGGCATTAGTTGACCCTTGTTATCAAAGCGTTGTGCTTTGGTTGGCTGAAACACGCTTCTTGTTCATCTCATTTGCGTCCTGCCTCTTTTTGTGGTTTTCACAGTGTTTGATTTTATTTTTTCTCCATATTTTTTGTTTTTGCACACTACCATAAAGCGCTTTCCTCTCTTCTTGAAATCCTCACATGCTCTACCCTTTCAGCAGCAAGAAGTCAACACTCTTTTTTTTCTTTCTCACTATCTCTCTTCCTCCTCCTCACACACACACATACACATGTACATGCTCAAACACACACACACATGGGCACAGTCCTCATGTATGACCCTGTAAATCCGTGTGTGTTGATGGAGTGTGTTCCTCCTTTCTCTGACAGGCCAGGGTTTGGGGAGGAGACCCCTGGTGTCCCGTTATCCTCCGGACCCCCCACCCCTCTGAGAGCACAAACTTTCTCCTCCTTCTCCCCTTCCAAGTCCTACAGTCGCCAGTCCTCCTCCTCTGACACCGAGCTCAGCCTAACCCCCAAAACCGGTAAGATACCCGACCCCACCTGACCTCTGGCACTCTACCAGACTCTTTCTGTCTCTCTCCATGGACCTTGATTTTAATCAATATTAGCGACTGACCCTGGTGTCAAGGCAGAGAGGCAGAGGGTGTAGGGCCCAGTGTCTCTTTATTTTGGTCTAATTTTGTGTTTAATTCATTTATGTTTGTTGTGTTGTCCTTTCATTATTACTTTATTTGTGTGTGTGAGATGTTTATTTTTATTTTACTCAAGGCTGTGATCTCGTATTTTGTACATTTGGAATCTGTGAAGAAAATCAACTCTACCATGCCTTCCTTATGTGAATCAGCTCCTTCTAAAGGACTTTAGTTCTGTTTTTCATTTTTTATTTTATGCATGTTTGTCTACTTATTTTTCACTATCTTTCCAGGGATGCAAACTACTTGCTTTTATTCAAAATCCTCAGTTTGTTATACAAAATAGGTCACTTATTCTGTTTTAATGCTGAACAAAAGAGCTTTTTTTTTCTTTTCTTTTTTTTTACTGCAAGGTTAAATTATTAAAGGGATAGTTCACCCCAAAATGGAAGTTCTGTCATTATTTAGCCTCATTCATGTTGTTTTAAACCTATATGACTTTATTTTTCTTCTATGGAACGTAAAAGAAGATATTTTGAGAACTGTCTTTTTTTTGTCCATACAATGGAAGTTGATGAGGTTCAGTGTTGTTCTTCAAAATATCATCTTCTCAGCATTCTTCAGAATAACTTTGTTTGTGTTCCACAGAAGAAATGAATTCATACAGGTTTGGAATGACATGAGGGTGAGTAAATGATGACAGAATTAAAATTTTTGGGAAAACCATCCCTTTAACATGTGGCCTCTGAAGAGGTATTTTTGTGAAGCAGATGTAAGGTTAATATTAAGGGTGCTCTGATCAGGATTTTTTGGGCCGATCACTGATTGTCGATCACAGGATGCAGTATCTGCCGATACCGATCACTGATGTTTTTTTTTTTTTTGCATTTTTCAAAAATATATAATTATCTCACCTACATGTTTGATCATGCAGTGCATTTTTGTTTTTATAATGGGGCAATTGTTGCACAATATCTTACACACAACACAAGCCTGATTTTGTGAGCTGTATGTGAGGCGGCCTTACGCCAGGTTCACACATACTCCGTTTGCAGTGCGTATGCAGTCCATGTGCGGTACGTAAGCAGTGCAGAAGCAGCAAGGACTCAAATCGTGCTTTCACACAGGATCGAGTCCGCCACTGATCCACGGCTGTTTACCACAAACACAACATTTGTCCATTTTGTTTTTAAATCCAAACGTTGTTACTAAAATGCTTTTTGAGCACTGTGATTTTTTTTTACGCAGTACAGTAATACAATCTTTCATAGATGTGTTTAAACGCAATAAATATAAGCAAGAGTATGAGTGAACCTGCCGTTATGTGTGCGCGCTTTGAGTGTGCACTGTGCATGAGTGCACCGCATCTAGGAGAGTGCGCAAGTGCTGTGTTTAAACACTGGCAAGAATTAAAAAGAAATTAAAATTATAAACTTTAGTGACGATTCAACACTGCCTCGATTGTGCAAGTGACAATTCCTGTGTGAACTGTTTAGCTCACTTATAGTGCAGACGCGATGTGGTGATTTGAAGCCATTTGCGCATTTAGAGAGGGAAAGAGAGAGAGCGTGCGGTGATTCACTCATGTTGTTTGTGAAATTACATCTCACAGAAAGTTTTCTAATTACTTTGTAAGTTATTTACTGAAGAAATATGAATTGTACCTCACCTTCAGCATTATAATTATTTTACCCACGCAGGACAAAGATTGAGCATGTCATGCCAAACCTCTCACAGCAGACGCGTCGTCAGCTTGAGATTGGTTTATGAGATCGGCCTTTATAGAGACCGCCGATCAAACTTCCCCAAGCCATTATTGGCCGATAGCGATCGGTAGCCGATCAATCGGAGCACCCCTAGTTAATATTTATCTGGACTTTTATGAAAAGTTTTTGCTTTTGCTAGCACAGATAGTCTGCATAAATGCACATGCTGGGTACTTGAAAAGCAAATATAAAGTGCAGCATTTCCTTTAAGACACTCCGATTTACAGAAACCGAATGATCAAAATTTGTTCAGCGCTGTCAGTTGTATGCTTTTCATATAGTGACTATAAAGAATGATATGCTAATTTGGACAAGAAACATAAGGGCATGGTATAATGTATAAAACTGCAACACTTCAGTTTTATATTTTATCTTTTATTATTTTCTCTCCCTCCTGTATTATACACCCTTCATGTATTTGGCACCCCCAAAAAAATCATTTTAATTGATGAAATGTTACTGTCCTAGTTCAGCTTATCATTTTGTTTTCATGTGTGAAACAACAAGAAACCCATTTTGAAGCTATTTTACCTACATTTTAGAATAACATTTTTAAAATCAAAATCAAAAAGGGACTTCAGAAGGATAATTCACCATAAAATGAAAATGCTGGTTTTTTTTTTTACTCAACCTCATGCCCTATATGTTTTTATATGTTTCCATACAGCAACATGTTCATAGTGACCATGTCTGTCAAGCTCAAAAAAAAAAAAAGTCACCATAAAGCACAATTTTTGTAGTCCATATGACTTGTGGCCAATATTCTGAAGTGATAAGATAGCTTTGTATGAGGAGCAGACCGTTAATTGATAATTCACCTCTGAAATGGATTACAAAAGTCATTCTGACAGAAATTTCAGTTTTGGAAAAACTGCAGCTTATACCGTCAAAAAAACACCCTGCTGGAAATAAAACCCTAGGGAAACCATTTTATTTACCTCTCATCATTTTGCATCCCTGTCTGTTGTGTAGTTCAGTCACCCCTTATTTTTTTCTCATATGATGTCTTCATACCTGTCCTCCCCAAACTTCTCTCTCATTCTTTCTCTGTCAGTGGGGATATTTCTGTGTCCCAGTACTCCCGCCCTTGAGTCTGAATCATCTCCCCTCCCCTCTGCCCATCTGCCCCTTCACTTACGGCCAAGGATGGCCTCCAGGAGTACAACTCCTCCCCCACTCCATGTCAGCCAATCAGACACAGCCCTTCTGAGTAAGAGCGTGTCTTTCAGTGAGGAACTGCTGCTGGCGGCCTATGGTAGGACACACCCACTGCTGTCCCCATGACCTTTGACCCTTGGTGCTGTGACTGCATCCAGTGTGACCACACCATCCCCTGTGCTGTCCCCTGGCAGAATATCATGCCCGTCGCTGGATAAATCAAACTAACGAATGGATTTTTTTCTCATTTGCCCACATCTTTTGGCAAATGCACTCTGAGTGCATGTTATGATAGAGCGGTGTGGTTTAATGTCTTCTAAGCTCTCTGATTAACAAAACCCCACTTGCATGAGTTCTTTTAGCCTGACTGCAGGTTAGATTTCTCTGCCAACGGAAGAAGAAACTAGAAAAAAAATAAAAAATAGCAGCCTTCTGTCGTCTCTAGTTGGCTGGTTCCAAAAATCTAATTTCCTAGTGCCTGGGATCTGAGCTTGTGTGTCTGAAACTGTATATTATTTGTGCTTTAATCTGTCAAAAAGTGATAACTTGATGAAGTTGCCCAGCTATTGAATGAGTAGAGTACTTTTTTTTGCCTGCGATAAATGTTATTTCTTAAAAGTCTCTGAATGTTTAAAATGTGTTCATACGTGCATTACTTTAATGGTTTATGAAACTAATGCCATTATTACATTTTTAAAATAGATGTGAACATATCCAATTTGATTTGAGATATGTATTAAGATTACACGGTCTTTATATTACACTGCTGCTCTACCTAGCAGAGTGTAGAAAATAACTTTTTGGCAAAAAAAAAAAAGGCTATATCCACCAAATGAATTACACTACTGTTCAAAAGTGTCAGGTCAGTAAGATGACAGTAAAGACGTTTATAAAGTTACAAAAGGTTTCTATTTCAAATGCTGTTTTTTGTTAACTTTATAATTATGAAAGAATCCTGAAAAAAGTATCAAGGTTTCCCCAAAAAAATACTATGCAGAACAACTGTTTTCGACATTGATAATAATAGATGTTTCTTGAGCATCAAATCAGCATATTATAATGATTTCTGAAGAATCATGTGACACTGAAGACTACAGTAATGGCTGCAAAATTTGTAATCATATTTCACAATATAACTGTCTTGTTGAGCATAAGAGATTTCTTTAAAAAAAATCTTGCTGAACTTTTGAATGATAGTGTATATTAACACCATGTTGTATATGGTGTTAATGATATTTGATATATTGTACAGCACCTTGGTCAACAATTGTTGTTTTTAGTGGTGCTATATAAATAAAGCAGAGTTGAGTTGCGTTAACCATTTTTATATGCACATAATTTCCCTATTAATGTATTCTGGTGAAACCTTTATTTCCAAAAGAGGTCATATATGATCCATAGGTATTGGAATATTCCTGTATGCATGTTCGTTTCCTATTTTGACAACAGCACAAGAGCACAATTTTTCACTCCAAAAAAAATCCAGTCAAAAGTTTGTACTTGACATAAATGAGTGATTTGCTTACATGTCAAGGAATTCATATTAATTTGATCAAGAAACCAAAATATTAATAAAGACTTTAGCCTTAATTGTGTAAACATGCAATTTTAATTAATATAATATTATTAATATTATTCCATTGGCACACAGAAGAGGTGAATGCATGTGAGTGCATGGGCTATTGTAACATTGTGCACTGGGTTGTTTAGAAGTGATGTGTCGTTTACAGTCTTTAATTTCCCCTGAATTTCTCTCTTCTCCATCATGAACAGGAATGGGAAGTGGCGGCAGTGCAGGAAAGGAGGCGGGGCCTCTTAAAGCTCTTCTGAGGCAGCAGACCCAATCAGCACTGGAGCAAAGAGTAAGAAAAAAACACATTCACATGCATTTATAAATTCACGATCAAGTTTATGCACAAAAGTGGAACTGGTGATTATGAGAATGATGTTTCTCCACTCTTTCGCTCTCTCACTGGATTTCAGGGGGTTTCATCATCCTCTGAAGCATTTGTTAGAACAGGGGTATGTCTGGAGAGGGCATGCAAAATGTTTTCTGAATGTAGAATCTTTCATGTTTCCGAAGCTCCTTCCTGTTTGAGAACTTTAAACTGGAAGTCCCGCATCTCTTCTACTGTCCTAATGACTTCATTATCAAACCAATGACACATCGGTATCGTGACTATTGGTTTGTGGGCCATGTGGTTATGCACCCATTTCCATGGAGAATATTCTAGAACCTTTGACAGGTGCTAGGAAGCTCTCATGTCTACCTGAAAGTCACAGTTTTGCTGTGATCTTGGTCCGGGGTAAAATGTCTTGTGAAATAATTAAATTAATGTAAATGAAGAGCCAGAGATCTTGAAGTCTGTGTCTTCATCCAGTCTGTGGATGAGAAAGAAACATGTACTGGGTAACAATTTTGTTGAGGCTTTTAATCAGGACTTTATGCATATTTATTATGTATTTGCAAACAGTTTATCAGAATGGTAAGTTATAATTAAAAGAGCCTTTATGAGCATCTTATTGCAACTTGTTACGCCACTTACATCTACTGGTAAGTCCTGATGTATTGCACTTAACAGAGTTGTTACCCAGTAAAAGAGCCTGTCTCCTACAGTGTCTGAATCTCTGTATCTCTGCATGAGTCTTGTGTTGCGATTGATAAATATTGACAATGTAATGGCATGACCCACAGGTTTCAATTTCTGTGCTTTAAAATCTTTAGATTTGTGGGAAAATGTCAGTACAGAAGTTCACCTGTCTTCATGTCCAGTGGGTCACCTGTGTCATTTCTGTATGATCCCTCCATCACCGTTCTGTGTGTTTCAGGAATACCCTTTCTTCACGTTGACCGCCTTCCCTCCTGGATTTCTCCTTCATGTGGGAGGCGTGGTCAGTGCGCGCTCAGTAAAGCTTCTGGATCGAATCCACAACCCAGGTAAGACGGCTCATATTATGCAAGCACAAACATAAACAAATACACCAAATATACCATACATTAACACAATTTAAAACAATATGAAACATAACAACTTCACTGTAGTAAGAGCAGAAACCAATCAGCAGATGCATTTATGAGGTAGTTTGGCAGTGTGCATGTTGTTGGTGAGGCTTTCGTTGTATTTTCTATTTCAGTACTTTGTACATTGTATGTTCTGCATCAGGTAAGACGGCTCATATTATGCAAGCACAAACATAAACAAATACACCAAATATACCATACATTAACACAATATAAAACAATATGAAACATAACAACTTCACTGTAGTAAGAGCAGAAACCAATCAGCAGATGCATTTATGAGGCAGTGTGCATGTTGTTGGTGAGGCTTTCGTTGTATTTTCTATTTCAGTTCTTTGTACATTGTATGTTCTGCATCACATGCACCATTTCTTGGCCTTAATGTTTGTCCTCTCAAGCATATAATGCTCTATTACTCTTATTTGTTAGAAGATTTTGAGACATGTCCCCTGAACATTACTTTTACCTTTTGTATTTTTTTCACTATTAGCACATGCACAAAAAAATACTTTTTGTAAACCCACAAATATCCTTTCTAGTCTGTACTAACAGTACATTATTGGGATGTATATATTGCCATAATACAATTTAATACAACCTTTAAAATATTGTATAATATTTTAATATACATCTCTAATGGAAAAGTGGCAGGTTTTGGCAAGCTTCACTGCACTCTCATGAGGATTTTAATGCTCATCTAGGAAACGCAAATGCTTTGTGAATTTACAATTGTGTTTGAATTTTTACCACTATGAGGTTCTATAGTATTCAGAAAGTATTCATGATGCACTGCATCATTTTGTAAATAAATAAATGCTTGTCAGGGCAATCTTTTACATCTCCATTGCATACATTTAATATAATGAATTCATTAATATAAAACAATATAATTGTTTTCCTTTTTTTTTTTGTCTCATAATACTTCTAATTCTCATTCCCTGCCCATCCTAGCACTTGTCTATCCTCAGTTTGACCCATTTTGTGATGCTGCCCATTGCAGTGATCTCTGATTGTATTTCTTTCAAATTTGCATGGATTCAAGCTTTAAGCTAACCAAGCTGTGCCATTACCAACTAATTTACATTTTGCATGCTGACTTGTTTCCAAATTAGCTATTACATGGAGAGGTTGTTATTTTGTATAGTGGAGTGTAATTAAAGGGAGAAAAACTTTAATTAAGCTCCGAACTAGAGCTCAGTACGTGTCTGTTGTTTTATTTTCTTAATTGTAACTTATAGATGACTACAAACACACCCACAGTTGTTATTCCACAACATACAAATTAAACACATCTATTACTATATCTGCGTATGAATGTTTTAATAGTGTGTGTGTGCATTAATTAAAGCATGGTTTGGTTGAAGGAGCCGCTCATGTAGTTTTATTGTAGATGTGCTGGTTTAGAGCCTCTGACATAGTGCTGCTGCATGCTTTCTTCTCTATCTCTTTATCTCTTTTCTTCTTTTACCTCTTTCCCCCTCTTTCTCTCTCCCAGACCTCTATATTCTTCCTCTCTGTCCATCTCTTCTCTCGCTCTCGTTCTCGTGGCCACCCTCTCAGATAACTCTTGTCTGACTTTGCAGTTCCTGTGGAGTGGTGTTGTCCAGTGTTGTGTTCTTGTTTGTAGTTGGTGTTTGGTTTTCTTTTTCTTTTCTACTCTCTTTCTCTCTTTCTCTTTCTCTCTTTTTCTCTCCGCTCCTTTAACCGATCTACTAATGTGGCGATTTGGCTCAGCCTTGGGTAACACCAGATCATACAAACTGCTAGACTGGAATAGTTTCACTGCAGGTACTTCCCTACCCTCAGTCCTGCTTTTCACACACAAACACACACACACACACACACACACACACACATGCAGCCCCTGGCAGCTCAGCTGTTACAAACTTACCTAATGATTAATACATATTATCAGTTTTGAAAAAGTATTGAATTTTGAATATTCTCTTTTAGCAATTAATCAACATTGTAATCATTCTTAAAGGGATAGTTCACCCAATAATGAAATTCTGTCACCATTTACTCACCGCAGTGTTTTTCTAAATCCGTATGGTTTTCTTACTTCTGAGGAGCACAAAAGTTTAGCTGCTGTTTTCCTTAAAATGAAAAGCACAGCATGTAAAGACCTTCCACAACAGGTTTCATGTAGAAGTTTGTTCTTGCATGTCTCATAACACAATCTGCAGTAGATGGGATGGTTATCAACTAACAACATCTTCAGTTTCTGTCTGTGCATCACAAGTAGTTCAGTATGACTTCACAAGACTTGGAATATAGCGCTTATGAGATGTTTGTTCTACTGATGTTTGTAGATGTACTTATGACTTATTGTTCTTGTTTTGTCCCTTATGCCTCATTTTTATGGAAAAGAGCAGCGTGAACATTTTTCCATGCAACACAAAATGAGATTTTTTTTAAGTATCAAAGTCATGCAGGTTTTGAATAACAGGAGGGTCAGTAAATGACTTATTTTCATTTTACAGTGAACTTTTCCCTTAATATATATATTGAAATTTGTTATTCAATGCATATTCACAATTAAGAAGATGAGTTGATTTTTGTCAAGAGTGATTACAAATACATTTAAAGATGAATAAAATGTGTAAAAGGAATTATTCATGCTGAGGCAATCTCAGGCTCGCACATAAACTCAAGCCTTTTCTCAGTAGTGTGTTTAGCATGAGCTGCCATGCGCTGTGCTTCTGTATGAACGTGTGTGTCTGGCACCTGTTGCATGTTTTAGCTGGATGCGTGGCTGTTCTCTGCTTTGGCTGATCATTCCTTGATCTGCTCTGACTGTGCTTCACCTGACCCCTTACCCAGTGTTCCCTGCTCCCTGATCACTTGACCACTTGATCTATCAATCCAGTGAAGTGGACTTAGGCAATGTTCTTCATTTAGTCATGAAAAGTATCATGACATGTGCCCTTGTCAGTGCTGCTGCCTCTGTGGTCATTGTTGCTTCCCTCTACTAAAGTAATAAGGATTCATACTTTATGGATTATGTTTGTGTAAGCTGATATCACGTGTCTGATATTGATTTGTAGTCATTGTCTGGGGTTGTTCATGTCGGTAGGGGATTTTTAAAAAGACATTTGCTTTCTTGACTGAATATTTTTTCCTCCTATTTTTCATTAATGCATCTTTTACTGTTTTTTGACTTTGGAATTTGCAAAAAGTTTAACACTGCTCAGAATCGGTAGTAAACGGCTGGCACCTGTCCAGAATTAATCATCCATATATAAAAATATGAGAAATATGATTCAGCTAATTGAGAATGAATGAGCAATTGAATGTTTGGTTTAGTTTATAAGAAAATTCACTGTGGACTTGTGTTATTAGTCAGGCTATGAGTGATTTGAATCATATTATAGCAGTGGTAAGTTGATCATCAGGCCATCATTTATTTATTTATTTGCACTTTCTCCTGCTTCTGGTCTCTTTTCCGCTGTGCACTTCTCTCTTTAACGTCACCGTTATTAATCAAACTCCCTTCTGCTGTTGGCTGTTTATCCAGGATAGGTTGGAGTTTGTCCTCTATTGGGAAGCATGACTGCACTAGCAGGGGAATGCTCTGCCTACTGTTGTAGATTAGATCATGAAAGCTGTCAGTCAGGAGAATGGCAAATCACACCACTGTCCTTTTCGTCCTCACCATCATCATCGTTTTCCTCATTCCCCTCGGCCCTCTCCTAGTATGTGGTAAACAGGCAGGGGAGTTTGCTCTCATGAAAACCCCTTGCTCTCAGAGAGTGTGAGCAACTGTGTGTGCATGTGTGCGAGTGTGTGTATGTGTGTGAGAAAGAGAGAGAAAAGCTCAGGTACTAGCCTTGTTTACATTAGTGCATGGTTTTCTCCCTCTCTGAAGACAATTTTGATATTTGTCACTGTTAAATATATATATATATATATACAGCTAAATTAATAAAACATGGTTCTGTTGATGTTTTAAAGGAACACTCCACTATTTTTGAAAATAGGCTCATTTTCCAACTCCCCTAGAGTTAAACAGTTGAGTTTTACTGTTTTCGAATCCATTCAGCCGATCTCCGGGTCTGGCGGTAGCACTTTTAGCTGTAGCTTAGCATCTAAAAGTGCTACCGCCAGACCCGGAGATCGGCTGAATGGATTCGAAAACGGTAAAACTCAACTGTTTAACTCTAGGGGAGTTGGAAAATGAGCCTATTTTCAAAAATAGTGGAGTGTTCCTTTAAGGCCTGTTTGATGCTACATGCTCAAGCAACTTCACACCAAGAACAATAACTATAAATATAATGATAACTATATTAGTGTCCACATTGACGCATTATAACATTCTGATTATTCTAAGTTCATACACCAGTTTTGCCATCTGCTGCTTTAAATGCTCAAGCTCTTTAAAGTTGGGTGGATTCTAACTGACTGTCAACGTTTTTATCATTCATCATGTGGAAAAAAATTCTCTGAAAATGATTGCAATGATATTGTTCCTCAGTGTCGTTATCATTAAAGCTGTGGTGTGGACTTCACTATTCTCATACAATTAGAACAAATATTAAAAATGTATATTAATTGTTATAGTTATAGTCCTTGGTGTAAACAGGCCATAATGCTTTGGACAATCCAGGGATAAACACCATTCTACTATGGTACTCAAATATCAAATCTGGCATTTTATTGATATAGAGCAGTTTTTTTTTTTACCTGGATTCATGAGAAAACTGCAGGGGGTTTGTGAGTTGATGAAAGGCTAATAATTAAATCATAAAAATGAAAAATTATGATAAATAAATAATATTAAAATAAAAAAAACCTCACTAAAAGTATTAAATATTTTGTTTACCCACATGTCATGTGAGACCGTTTACCGATATCAGAGAACCGTGAATTTGCATGTGTTATTTAAATATTAATTAAAATTTTTTGGTCCAAGAGGTTCAGCCGACAAAAACCGCTTTGGGAATCCCTGATATAGACAGTAATAATAAACAAATAAATAAACACGATTGTGAGTTGTGGCAGATTTGGGAGCGTCAAGAAACCAGCTAACAGGGCTAGTATGCTGCTAAAGCGAGTGGGGGTGTTTATGTGCCAATGGTATGTGTGATGATGTAAATATGTTTGTTTCAGACGAGCCGGAGACACGGGATGCGTGGTGGGAGGAGATCCGTCAGGAAATAAAGTCTCATGCCAAAGCTCTTGGCTGCCACGCTGTGGTGGGCTACAGCGAGTCCACCAGCATCTGGTACTTAAACACACACACAATTCTCAACTCTGAGGATATTTTCACACACTGGATCTCAACTGTTTTTTAGGCTTCCTCATATATACAGGTTTTCAAGACCGTTGAGGGAGTTAATTAAAATCTTGATTTTTAGTTGCACAGCTTTCTCATTCTGTCATTCAACCATGATGAAAGTCTCTGATTATTTGCTCTTTGTGTTTGCAGTGAGGAGGTGTGTATTCTATCAGCGTCAGGCACTGCGGCAATCCTCAGCTCCCGATTTATGCAGGACGGCCCGCTGGATGCCGAACACAGGTTGTCACGGCAACCGCTTTGTGTCTTTTCTACAGGGTCAGAGAGGGTCGAGGGGGATATGGGTAGTTCAGCCTCGCTAGGGTAGGTTAATGACACACACATACACATACACACACACCTTTGGCCCCCGGCTAAGGGACTCTTATAAGAATAGTTCACCCAAAAATAAAAAATGTGATTATTAACTCTCCCCTCATGTCATATCAAACTTTTAAAAGGGTGTACCAAGAAAATAATCCATAATTAGTAATTCAACTTGTTTGCTATATCCTCAGTCTTCTAAAATCATACAATAACTTTAAAGACAGCATAAAATGACAATTCACCCTGTCTGTTTTCTAAATGAATGTTATAAATCTTATTGTGAACATAAAATATTTTTTTGATACTACGTTACACATGGATGTGTCACAATATAGAAAATATCTGTCACTACTTCCGTTTCATTGCGGCAATAAATTCAAATCATTATTCACTGAATTTTTTCCTTAATGCAGTACAGTAGCTCTTAACGTCGGAAGGAAACAGAAATTGTGACATATATCTGAGTGAAATGGCTTCTTAAACAAGGAGAAAAATACAGAAAAAATATCAAAAATATAGGACAGGACTTGATTTTGAATTGATTAGATTGTTGTCGTTTCCTGTGATCTTATGTGAAGAAATGTTTTGCGTGGAGGAGGGGAAGTTAATATTTTTGATTAAAAATTACAAGGGCACATGAATTAAAAAAATGATATGGATGGATAAATAATTTTTAATAAACACTGCAGTATTGTGAATTTGGATTTCATGGTGACATTAAAACCAAAAGGTTTGAAATTACACAAATGTAAGTAAATCATAACTTAAGTTTAATTTTGGGTGAACTTTTCCTTTAATCTCAATACTAAACAATACTAATAAAATTTGTGTGTGTGTTTGTGTATGTTTGCTGAGGATGTTTTTTTATACAGCTACTAACCAAATTAAGTCCTGAGGCCTAAACATTTGCCTATCTCTGCATTTGTATATTTTATGTTCAAAAATAATACCATCGTTACAAATTTGTATGCTTATGTAATAATTTTATTCAGTTTTAGCTCATGTGGGTGCTTGGGTCTCTGTGTGTTCCCTTGTGTTATTGTTTATGTACTAATTACAGTGTTTATTTCTGTAAGATTTGAGGAGGTGGTGTCCCCTGGCTGTGGGTTTTGCCACATACCGTACGATGAGTTGAATATACCATTTCCTGCTCAGCTCACCTATTGCTACTGCTGTCGCCACTACAAAGTGCCCGACGTCCTCTTCACCACAATCGACCTGCCTACTGAAGCCAACGTCACCGGGAAGGGCTGCCTGATTCAGGCCAGGTAGAATATGCACAGAACATCCTTTCTGAATGCTATATTATTGTGCTGCATACTGCAGTATAGCGCAAATAGTATATGTGCTATTTAGTGATACATGCTTTAAATTGCAGTGTGTAGGGCAGCATGTGTAAATTAAATAAAAACGAAATCACAATTTAAATTTTTTAATCACATTTTAAATTACAATTTTAAATAGAAAAAAATATATCACAACGTTACATTTCAGTGAATTAATAAAAACAGACATTTTGCGTTTTTAAAGTGTCCCACGTGAATAATTAGTTTGGATGAAGGTCAAGTAACCATTGCATTGTGGAATACAGTATTTCTCACAATGTGCTCCGATCAGAAGGTCATCCGGGTATTCTCTGCATCTCACTGTAGGCTGTGCAGGACTAAAAAGAAGGCCCAGGGAGAAGGGAACGCCACGGCCATTAGTAATCTTCTGCCATTTCTAGAGTACGAACTCCACACACAGCTGATGAACAAATTGAAGCTACGAGGCATGAATGCTTTGTTCGGGCTACGTATCCAAATCAGCGTGGGAGAGACCATGCTGCTAGGATTAGCGGTCAGTGTGCAATTACCCATAATGCTCAGTGCATTTAGTGTAATTTATTAAATATGACTGTATGTGCTGCTGTTTTCATGCTAATAGCTGTTGTTTGTTGCATCTAGTCTGCAACAGGAGTTTATCTGACAGCTTTACCCAGTCCTGGAGGAATCCAGATTACGGGAAAAACTCCCAGTGACATCACATATGAACAGCACATCTCCAATATGCAGAAGAAAATCAATGACACCATTACTAAAAACAAAGAACTGTATGAAATCAACCCTCCTGTAAGTACATATACACATCAAGTGTATTTCAAGCCTTTTATTTTATCCACTTGTTCCTCTTTTAAAAACACAGCTAAAACATTTTTTTTTTAATTCCTTCATAGGAGGTTGTCGAAGAGATCATTGGTTCGCCGATCCCTGAGCCCTGTCAGAGGTCTCGTCTCTTTCGTTCTCACTCAGAGAGTTCAGATGAGGTGTCAGAACTAGACTTATCCCATGGGAAGAAGGATGCCTTTGTGTTGGAGGCAAGTTGGCTTGTACTGGAGGTTTATGGATTCTAGAGATGAACATGGAGATGCTGGAAATGCATTTTGCAGAGTGAAGGATCTTTTTAATGTTTTAATACTCTTCTAGATTGATGACACGGATGCTGTGGAAGATATACATGCACTTCTGACTGATTTCTCCATCCCAGCAGGTAAACACTTGTGCTAGACCACTGTTGGACTCTATTCTGTGTTTACTGGGCTATATATTCACCTGTTTATATGTACATTGTCTTGTCTTCCCTTCAGGATTCTACAGCTGCAACACTGAAATCATGCCTGGGATTCAGAACTGGACTTCAGCTATACAGGTACCGTTCATCCCAGCGAACCTGTCCATCTCCTGAAAATTGCAGATAGTGTGTTGATGTGTTTACATCTTCAAGAACTCAAGACTCAACAGAAACCAACAGTATTTTAATAAAGCCAGAATGGGAGCAAGAGCCAATTCAAACCACACGAGATGGTATCAATTTCATGAGCAGTATTTTTATATATATTAACAATGAAGACCGTTACTGTTGCCCTAATATTTGCAGACAGATGAAGCTATTTTGAGAGATGTTTGCTCTGGAAAGACAGATTTATTGTCTCTATATGATGTTAATATGTTGTTAATATTTTTGGTGTTGAATCAAACATTTTTCTTAAGATGTTTACCTCCGTGAGGGTCTTTCGCCTTAACAACGCCAACTTGACCAATCAGGGACTGAATAAGATTTTCAGTGACCTCTGTGAGAACCTGCTTAAGGTGAATACATTTTCCTGAATACATATTTTCTGAATACGTTTATCTATTTTTTTCTGAAGAGATCAGTACAATAATAGTTGATATGGACCAGCTAAACCAAATTATTAAAGTATGTTTGGATATCACTACTCTAACTGAAATATATGTGTGCTCTGTAGAGTTTGTACTTCAAACTGCGGTCGATGGTCCCATGCTGTCTTTGTCACCTGAACTTCACAGTGGCCATACCTGAAGATGAGCTTATTCAGGTGAGAACACACCTGACCTTATTATGTTTTTGTTAAATATGTTATTAAACTTTCAGTTTGTGATCTCATTACTGTTAAACAGCAAAAAAGAAAGAAAGAATGGAACCCTTAAGGTCTGTTTGTCCTGTTTAGATGTTTTTTTTTTTTACCTCTGTCCCACATGATTGGTCTGATATTTTGATATTTATTGTTTATTTACATATTTACCTCTGTATCCTAACTCAAGATACTGCTACTGTCAACTCGAACTACTGTCAAATGTGCATTTCTAAGAGACAAAAAAAAAAGTAATATTATAATTTTGTAAAATTTAAATTAATATTGCAGCCTGCACTGCAAACTGTGCTGAAGATATGCATCATCAAAGTCAGGCAACACAAACCTGTTTTATGATTTGAAACAATATTACTCATTAGAACAGGCAGAAACTTAAGAAATTAGTAGTTTAAAACCACAATTAACGCTCTGGTTTCTACAACTTTCACTTAGGAGCAAAAATCTGCCTTTAATTTAAAAGAAATAAAGATTTTAAATTTATCGTGATAATTATTGATATCGATTGATATACATTTTTTTTTATTGTGATAATTTTTTTGGCCATATCGCCCAGCCCTATTGCTCAGTGTTGTTTAATTGGCAGGTGGCGGTAACAGCTGTGGCAATGAGCTTTGACAAAGAGCAGAGTTTGGAAAATGGCAAACAAAGTGGGGAAAAGACACTGATAAAGGGTAAGCATGTGCTGTATGTACAGTATGTTCATGTAAGACACACCTTTTTGAAAAGCAGATCCTCAGTGTTGATTGTCCTTTGCAGCCATAACAGATGAGCAGCTTCAGTTCAATCTGGAACTCAATGCTGAAACATCTTCTTCCAATCCTCTCAGCTCCCCCAAAGGTATAAACCCTGGTGAATCCTGATTTAAACTTCACCCGTTGTTCCATACAGTCCTTTATAGCTCTTTAAAAGTTAGCCATAATCCTTTTATGTTAGTGCTAGGTGCATTATTAGTTCATTAAAACTAAAGTCGTAAAATACATTTTCGTTACTTGAAATAAAATAAACGTCTACTGAAATATATATTTTTTCATTTTCATTAAGTTTAATTTGATGTACTATAATAACTAAAGCTGAAATAAATAATAAAAACTATATAGATATAGTATAAAAAAGTAAAAAAAAAAAAAAAGGCAAAAACACAACTAAATTACTAAACTTTAAAATAAAATGAAAACAGAAAATATAAAAAATAAATAAACATTCAAAATATTAATAAAAAATATAATTGTGTAAATTATACTAAAACAACACTGGCTAGATAATGTTCTCTTAATAATTATATCTTAAAATTGGTGCAAACAGTTAAATATCCAATATTGGTTAATACCTATAAATTAAAAAATAATAATAATAATTAAAATAAATAAAAAATCAGATATTGGTGACATAACTATTACAGTGCCGATTTATAGTGCATAAGTTTCTTGTACCAAAATAAAATGCATTTATTTATTCATTTATTTTTATTAAAGAATATATAAATTTCTGACATTAAAAAAAAAGAATATATATTTTTTGATAATAATAATAATGAACAATAAAATTTGTGTTTTTTTTTTTTTTTTGCTGGGACCACTGAAAATCTTAGGAAAAATGATTGAGATCTGATATCTACATTGCACATTGGCCCTTCACAATATTAAGGAAAATCCTGTTTTCTTTAGTGTCATCCCTTTAACACTGCATTTGTTTCCTTTGTGTGTCTCAGGTCTATCAGAGGTTGGCAGCCATCCATCAGCCAGAGGTCAGTACCTGATCTGTTGCTAAGAGTTCTGGAGGCAGCAGGGTGCTTTTTTTTCCTTTTGATTTCTGCTCCTTTTGTGTGTGACAGTTTGAAGTGCTGCAGCACACACCCCAGCATCATCCATTTTACCCCTTTTTTTCTTTCTTTCTTTCTGTGTCTTGTTTCCTCTTCTCTTTGTCCCTCTGTTGTGTCATTGTGTGTATGTACTTGTCTGCGGGATTTGTGACCGCATGTGCACATATTTCTATGTGCATGTTTGTGTCTATTTGTGTTTGTTTCTGAATGTCGGTCTATATATATATATATATATATATATGTGTGTGTGTGTGTGTGTGTGTGTGTGTGTGTGTGTCCAGCCTCCTCAGTTGATTACAGTTCCTTTGCAGACAGATGCAGCTCCTGGATAGAGCAGCTTAAACTGAAAGCTCACACCATAAGACGCGGATCGGTTAAAACAAGTAGGAGCACACACGCAAACTCGCTTACATACACAGACATGCACAATCACAGACCCTAGTTGGAGTAGTCTGCATACTTAAAAGGATCTTTAACTTTAAGATGAAATCAAAATGGGCCCTTAATAAAAAAATGTACATTTTCTTGGTCTTATTATGTTCATTTCATAGGTGCACATTATTCCAAATTCCACTAAAATAATACATAACACATACAAAACACAAAAAATATATATTTTAATATAATTTTTTGTGTTTTGTATGTAAAACAGTATGGAAGTAAAATGGTTTAGGAGTATGTTTTCATTTTGGTGTTCCAAAAGTTAACATTTTTTGGTGAATTATTTTATTTGGTGAATTACTGATTTTTTACATATTTTATTTAATGTGAACGAAAATGGGGCTCTGGTTCAATGTGTTCAATATTGTTTTAAAGTCCTCTGTACACAGCAGTATGATATTATCTTCTAACCCTCACAGCCTCGTATTCATTAAAAATCAAATGTATCAAATTTAAAATGGCATCTACTCTGACTACAGTCTATACTTCTTCACGCATCCTTACACACACATACTCCCATGTCCTGCATCCAAAAGTGGACAAGTCTTGCTGCCATACGCCGATCCGATCAAACATGATTAACAGAGTGTGAAGGTTGAGTCTTAGTGAGGAACCAAGATGAAGACTGTCACTCTTTCAGTTGTGCCTCAGTGATTTCATAATTGAGCTTGCTGATGTGATGAGTATGAATAAAGCACAGACCAACTCTGTCATGGTCCCATGCAGAGTAACATATGATGCATTAATGCATCATAAGTATGGCTGTACAGGTTGTACAGTTCAGGGTTGGGCATTATAGCTAAAAAAAAAAAAATCTCTTTTTCATAATATATCTCAATATTTATGTAGATGCTGAAATATCAACTCAACAGCCACTGAAATCATTGCCGTATTCACTGTGTTGCTTTATTGTATGCCGTCAACAAAATAATCACATTAATATCGCCCAGCCCTAATTCAGTCCACTGACAGATAGTTTGAGCGATGTTTGGGAGCTGCATGCGCATTAGCGCTTTGTGTAACAGTTGTGATGCAGCGTCATGTATGATGTATTACAGCTTTGAGATTGAGCTCTTTCACACTCTTGATGGAAAAAGTGTCCTCCCTCTTCAAAGCTCATCATCCTCTGATTTATCAAGGCAGACTGAACATGCGTGCATTCATTCTTTCTCTCCTCCTCTGTCTCTGTATTTGCATGCTGTTTATTTGCATGGTGCAGTACTGTTGCTTTGCTTTGATCACATGCTGCTGATCTGCAACACACAAATGCACACATGCCCTTTTTCCTCGGTCACACTATGTTTGTCTCGTCACATCCGTTGGTCTTGTACAGCGCCCTCTGAAGGCCATGTCTGGTATATTCCACCCCCCTCTTTCTTTTCTCTCTTCTTCTATGGAGAAGGCCAGCCCGTTGCCTGAAGGTCGCTCTCGTTCTCTTCGGTCAAATCGTTCCTACTCGGGCAGTTCTGTCGCAGTGGTCAAAATGACCCCGCTCTCTTTCATTCCTGGAGCAAAGATCATCAGATACCTTGGCATCATCAACATGTTCTTCATTAGAGAGACCACCTCACTCAGAGAGGTAGCAGTCTCACTGTTTTTACTACCATAAATCCCTATTCAGACTCGATCACTTCACACACATTAAGAAATTTGCTGCTGCTTCGTATTATTATTAATAAATAATAATAATAATAATAATAAATGAAACAGAATATTAAATGTTTATAATATTAATGCAATTAAAATAACTGATATCATATAATATTAATAGTAATAACAATAATAAATATTATTGGTGTTTAATTTTTTTATTAATGCTATTACACAATTAAATATCTTTAATAATATCAATATTATTCAAATTAATTAGAATTGATAATAGTAATGAAAATTACAAAAATATTTTAATAATATTAGATATTTTATAATATTGCTATGAAATAAAATATTGAAATAATAATATTACAATTAATTACAACTATTAACATTAATAGTAATGAAATTATTGTTATTATTACTATTTATAGTTTAATAATAATATTAAACATTTGTGTGCTAGTAAATTGTTATTCATATAATAATAAATATGATTACGGTAATATTAAGTATTTTAATAATTATTATTTTTTTTTTACAAATTACAATTGTTAACATTAATGGAAATATTGGTATTAATATTGTTGTAAATTGTTGTTATTATTATATAATAAGAAATATTATTATTAATAGTATTAATATTATAAAATTATTTAGCATCATTAAATGAATAATAATAATAGCAGTGCAAAATATTGTTAATTTTAGTGTAATAAATATTTTAATAATATTCATGTTTTTAAAAGTCATTACAATTAGTAAAAAATTGTAATTAATTTTATATTCTTGGTATTAATATTATTTAGTATTAATGTCACATTGTATTATTACTATTATTATTATTTTTTCTTATGTTTTAGGAGGGAGGTGTAAGTGGGTTTCTGCATACATTTATTGCTGAAGTATTTGCGATGGTTCGCGCCCATGTCGCTGCTCTTGGAGGAAATGCTGTCGTCTCCTACAGCATGAAGGAGTGTGTGTTCATGGAGAATCCTAACAAGAACCAGGTTAATACATGCACAGTCACACACACTCATACACACTCAACCCATCATGTTTGTTCATTTATGCTCGTGTTGTATTTTACAGGCGCAGTGCCTAATTAATGTCAGTGGGGACGCTGTTATTTTTGTCCGAGAATCTGAACTCGAGTTGACTTCGGTACAGCCACAGTCAGCCACAACACAGACCTCCAACTGTGGGGAAGGAACGTGAACCCACATACACACAGACAAACTCTCAAGTAAACACGTTTTAACATGAACCATGCCATTTGAAGCAGTTTCACGCTGAATCTACCAACCAAATCTCCAAAAAGAAGCAAAAATCTAGACCTTATTGGTTGGTTCTCCCAAGTGTCATATTTTAGATCCTTTAAATGGCCAATATTTGGTTTTATTTCAGAATATTTTAAAATTCCTCCATCGGAAGCCTTTCAGAAAGGTCATCTGTCATGTTTCTATGTATTGGCCATTGTTGTTCACATTCCATTTTGTCCATATGTGGTGGAGGCAGCTACCAAATTCAAAAGGTCTATAAAATGCGTCTTTTGTGTTCGCAAAGAGTGTGTAAATGCGTCAACGACTCTCTAAATGGCCGTGTTTTGTATTTAAATGAAGGTATAAACTACTGATGCACTCGCATGGACATCCAGTTCATGATTTTAAATACTGGTTTCAAATAAGACACTTCCTGTCATGTCCTACTGATCTCTTTAAAATCATGTCATATGCTGGAAATGTTTGTTTGCATTCATGTGCCACAATGTATGCTTTTATTTAATCATAATGTTTGGGTCGGACTTCTGCAAGGCTGGCCCGATTTTTTTGCATGTGCAATGCCAGTTAACCATTAAGAAAAAAAGATATTTTAGGGTGGAGTTGTCATTCACCATGGACTGACACTTGAATGTACAGATGATGGGTCTGGATATGAGGTGGACGACTCTGCTCCTGCGTGGACTGACTTTTAATGCTGTTATTTTGTATTATTTTGTTATTTTGCCTGAGGACAAATCAAAATTGCACATTAATAAGATATAATTGAATAAAACTATTATTGCTCTGATGTGTTTAGTCCTTGTTAAATTCTTCCGTTTTTAATGAGTATATTTATATATACATATAATGGTTTTCTCAAGTGAATTTCATTTCTCATGATCTGATCTAAAATATTGATATAAAATATAATCTAAATATTATAACTACAATCAATGCAGAATAAGTTGCCCAAAAGACAGTTATATTTGATTTGTGAGCAAGTGCCTTTTTTAATAATTTTTTTCTTAGTAAAGCCAAGAACACACTAAATACTTATTCCAATCTGAGCCGCTAGTAGACGCCAGACATTAAAAATGCACTTCCTAATTCTGAGCTCACATCAGTATTCTAAAAATCTCTACACTTCTAACAAATGAAACGATCTTAAAAAAATAAATAATAATATTTAACAAAAAATAAACGCGAGCGTGGCTGATATTACCGAATCCAAAAGCTTCACTCATAAATAGTAATTAGGTCATGTTGATTTTTATTTGTCAGCCTTCCGAGATCGTCCAGGTAAGTACACAGCCTGCTTAATATTCATTAGACGAGTCCAAAGTCTGCCTTTCAGCCAATCGGCTGCACTCACGGACGAGCGTCTCTGACGTAATTCACTCCAGTAGAGCTACTAGTACTAGATCTACTAGTGAAAATTGGCTTTCTAATGATATAGTTTTGGTGAGCCAACTCTTCAACCAAGGAGGACTTCTGTTAACTTATTCTGAATTTTTGTCTAAATTTAAAATCCCAATCATTCCTAAAGAATATGCTGTAGTTATGGATGCTGTCCCCTCTGGTTTAAAAATGCTTTGTAAAAATACATGTCCCCAATCTTCTCTGCAGTCTTTTGATCCTGTTGACACTGCTGTTGGTCGAGTTTGTTTTTCTTCTTCCTCTGTTAAACACAATAATCGACAGGTTCGGGCCCTTTTTCAAAGGGATGTTGTCTCTAGACCTCCTATTGTAACTTTCTGGAATAGCTGTGTTGATGGTTTGATATGGCATAAAATCTGGAAATTACCTCATAAATATTTAATCACAAATAAAGTAAAAGAAATTTCTTTCAAACTCATTTATAAATATTACCCCAGTAACTTTTTCCTTGTAAACAGATTTAACTGTGATATTGATACACTATGTACATTTTGTGGTCTACATACAGAAACGTTTTTTCATTTATTTTGGAGTTGTCCTTACTCAGTCAATTTTTGGTCAAATTTCTGCTCATTTGTTAGAGATCATATCATGCCCAGCTTTCAACTTTGTCAACATTTGTTTTTTTCACTTACGACATGTCATTCCATAAGGAATATTGTTTGATTAATTTATTACTTTTGCTGGCAAAGTTTAGTATACATAAATGCAAGTGTGGCAATTATAAACCATTGTTTCTCATTTTGAAATCAGAAGTTAAACAATACCTAAAATCAATTTACAATTTGATAAACAAGAAAGCTGTTAAGTGTATTAATGTATGTAAACATTTCCATGTTTTTATGTAATTTATTTTTTATTTTCTCTTTATTTCACTGTAATTTTATATCTCTTTTTCTTTGTGTTCACCCCCTGGCTACTGTAAAGTGTTGAATTTGAGTGATTCAATTAAAAAAAAAAAACTAGATCTACTAGTACAGCAAGGAGTATTTAATGCTAAAACGGCTTGCCATAGTATGGATCGTTCCCTGCGCTGACGTAATTTCCGATTTTGCCAGTTCTCTAACATCCATATACTAACGTACACCAGTCAACCAATCAATTTCACGTCCCCGAGCGTGACGTAATTAATATTCATGAGCCAATTCTTCGCCATAGTAGGATTCGTTGGCAAACAACGCGCTTCTCCGTTCCTGCACGTCAGACGTGTCGCTCAGTCAGTTCTGTGCATTCAAACCTTCCTGATCTCCATCTTGAGGAGATTCCTACGCCATCTGTTTCCTTTAGGAGTTTATTGTACACATAATGGGAGAAATAAGGTTGCCGAGGCATATGTTCTTGTGGTGCCTGTCTGCTATTTATATGTTTGCCTTCGCGTCTCTTTATGTACAGATTCCAGGTGAGTTTAGATTTGTTTAACCTGCATGTATTGAACTAACAGCACAACTTCATCAGTGACACATGCGGTATTAAATGTCTTGCAGAACTGTCTGTGCAAAAAAAAAAAAATCAGATTAGATGGAGCATGTTGACGCCTGTTCAGAAAAACCCAGACTGTAAAATCTAAGAAACTAGCCTATATTAAAGTGGTCATATGATGCGATTTCAATTTTTCCTTTCTCTTTGGAGTGTTACAAGCTCTTGGAAGATCTGAAGATCTGTAAAGTTGCAAAGACTAAAGTCTCAAATCCAAAGAGATATTCTTTATAAAAGTTAAGAGTCAACCACACCTACCTGAAACGACTCGTTCTAACACGCCCCCACATATCTACGTCACTATGTGGAAATATTAGCATAATGCCGCCCAAATGTGCAAGCAAAGAAAGAAGGCGTGATTTCAGGAACAGCAGTAGGGATGGGCGTATCGATCCAAAGTATCGATATATCGATACTGACGCGAGTATCAAAAGTATCGATACTCAAACAAAAAATATAGATACTAAGGTGTATTTTATTTACCAGTGATTTTATTAATTCAACAAAAAAAAATAAAAATAATGCGTACAATATGCATTGAATTGGACGATCACTGGCAGTCCCTTATGAAAATGAACCATGGTTTTACTAAAGTGACCGTAGTTCAACTGTAGTATTTGTAGATTCGAATCATGTGTAAACGAAAAACATATTTGAACCATTTGTAAACAAAAATATAACCTAATAAGTTACAATTAAGGCGTATCGAATGTTAAAATGCGTTTTAAACAAAGTTAATTGCTTATCATTACCCATATTACTCGTAGTAATTTAATCATTTCATAAATTTCATAATTTAAAAGTTTAGTTCAGAAGTATCGAATCGGTATAGATATCGACGATACTGCCTTGAAAAATATCGGTATCATATCGAAAACAAAATGAGTGGTATCGCCCATCCCTAAACAGCAGTAGTGTTGATGCATACCAATATTTGTTATTATAGTATTATAGCATATATACTATAATTGAATATAGTAATCATTAAGTGCCATGTAGGGTCCAAAAGTCATATAAACACATAAACAATGTGGGACCTGAAATCTGGAAATAAAGTTTTAGGATTCTGGAAAATCTAAAACTTAAAGTAACACTGACATAAAATGAATCACTTTTCAGATTCTGCACCATTTTTAGGTCACTAATCAAAAAGCATTTTGCGGCATTGACTATGTGAGTTCTCTCTCTTTGTCTTTAGGTCTGTATGGGAACGAGGGTGTGCTGCCGGCGCGGTGGCAGCTGCGGGTGTCTGGGAAGAGTGTTGTGGAGCAGCTGAAGGATTCTCCCACCCTGCTGTGGTTCGGTCCTCGTCTGGGTTTGGACACGCAGCAGTGCATGGAGCTGCTGAGTCTGACCGGAGCTCTGCTCAGTTTAATGACTCTGGCTCTGCCGGTACTCAGAGACTGCAGAGTCTTCCTGGTGCTCTGGATACTCTATCTGTCCCTCTACCAGGTACAGACTCCGTTCACATACAGCACTGATACCACTAGTGTAGTGGTAGACCAATATGTGGTTTTCACTGGCTTGTGCAATATTTAGAGAACAGGTGGCCTATGGCTGACAGCAAAAAAATAAAATGCTCATGTTTTTTTTCCCCCCTAAATCTTTTATTAGTAAAAATTAGTATCTGAAAACTCCTTGAACCAGGTCATTGGCTGATGCTGATAATCAAAACAATGGCCAATATATATTACAATACATAGTTTTTAATTGCATACATTTTTAAATACATATTTACATAATTCATATTTTTAAATGGATTTTTAGAAGTATTTTAAATAATTTAGTCTCATTTGCTATCTTTAAACTGTATTGAATGTAAAATGTAATGTAAAATTCTCAAAAGAAAAAGAATAAAAAATATAATTACAGTGGATATTTTTATGTTGTATCATTTATATATAAAACATCATGTAATATAGTGTCTAATATAATTAGTAATATAATTATAATACAAAGTATTATATATATATATAAAAATATAAATAAAATAAAAATATAATTTTGTCTATTTTTAAACTGTATTGTATCATATTATATTTGCAATATATCCAGCCTGCTGTCGACCATTACCTCTAAAAACCCATACTTGTTGATCGATACTTATCACGAATACTACTTATCAAGGGTAAAAAAATGTGATATTAGAAGTTAATGTAAAAGATACTGAAGTGCAGTGCTTCTTGTTTCTGTAGGTGGGCCAGGTCTTCGTATACTTTCAGTGGTGAGTATTAGATTTTCTGTCAGTGTGTGTTGCTCGTACACCACCAGATGTTTTATTGATTCACAAATGTTCTTATTCCCCAAATTATGTCTGTTATGTAACTGTCTATGGCTTTGTTTAACTGCTTTACAACTGTAGCAACAAAACAGTCTTGACCTTGAGAGACACTCAGAGTGTTATTTACAGTAGTCTCACTTCTGTGTTAATGTGAAATGACTTCAGCACATCAGAAGCCAGAGTTAGAATGTGTCAAACATCTTGATCTCAGGGATAACCTCTTGCTGGAGACGGGCTTCTTGGCCATTCTCATCGCTCCCATGAAAATGCCCTGGTCTTCAAAGGTGCGTCTCCATGACAGCGTGACTTTCTGGCTGGCGCGCTGGCTGTTGTTTCGGCTGATGTTTGCGTCGGGTGTCGTCAAACTGAACAGCCGCTGTCCCACCTGGTGGGGCCTGACAGGTGAGGAATCAGCTGAGATTTGTAGATTATATTTGTGCCAAAATTTTCTGGATTTGCTGCTGAAAGGTTCAGAATATCCTATTACACTAAAAACAACAGTATGTTTTTACAGTATGTATTCTGCATGCACAAAATACTCAAATGGCCTGTTAAAGCACAGTGTGAGATACAGTGTCCCACAATGCAGTGCT